AAGCCTGCCTAAGAAAAACTAAAAAATCCCCAGCTAAAGCAGAGCTTGTTGGGAAGGGGCAAACCAAAAACTAGAAAAATGCAGAGGATTCCTACAGTTCCTCCCATAAACTAATACAGTAGAACATTCCTATGCTCAAACTGAACTAAAAATGAAGGAAAATGCAGGGGAGAATTTAAACAGTCCAGGCTAGATATCACACAAGGCTTGGGCTATAAACAAATTATGGGACAAAAATCCCCTCCTGTCTTAAATTACAACAGAACCAAGCACCAAAGATAGAAATGCTCCAGGAACTCGTAACTGGTTCTGCAACTGACGGGGCCGAATATGCCAAACTGAGCATGCAAACAGAGTCAACTGAAATGCAATTGGTCTGAGATGACACACGATCAATCAATCTGCGCTCTTAGTTCTGTGCCAAGGCTCTTGTGTGTTGTGTGTCTTCGTTCCCGACTTAGGGCAAGCCTAAGGACTTTATCATACAGGGAGAATCTGTACTTTATCCTGTACAAATCCTGAAAAAGACTGCGTAATTACGCGCAACAATTTCACACGACGTCGCACAAAACCCGTCATTAAAGTGGTCAGAAAGTGGTGTTATCCCGTATCTTTTTACTTTTGGGATTTTAGGGGAAATGCATTTGTAATATTACTGTAATTGCGCATTTACTCTAGTGCAAAAGTCAAATTCGGTTTATTCACACAATAATCCTCCTTTCACTCATTTTTCCGTTTTTCCATGGTTCTGTGGGGCTGCTTTTGCTTCCTGTTTTGCTTGGGCGACAAACATACCAGGCAGACATCACCCTCTCTATGTTCTCTTTCTAAAATTTCCTGTCCGGGTGTCTGGTATAGAAGTATATAGGGGTTGTTGTTATTGTTTTTGTTGCAGGTTCCTGTGTACGCATCCCTCTGCGCATGTGCAAGTATACCATTTCTACTTCATATACGAATTCCTTCGCTTTTGTATGAAACAGAAAAGCAGATTTTTTTTGCTTTTCATGTTATTAAGCATTTATTCTAATTGCATGTGATATTCATTCGCTCAGTTAAACACTATTTTTGCTTTATTTTCGGGATGGTTTATTTGCACTTTATTCTTATCTCTTTAAAGATGGAACTGTCCCCTGTGTGATAAAGTCCTAAGGTGAACTTATCATGGGGTTTTCTTCGCAAGATTTGTTCAGATGAGGTTTCTCATTGCTTTCTCCTGAGGCTGAGAGAGTGTGACTTGCCCTAAGTCACCCAGTGGGTTTCATGTCTCAGCTGGGAATTGAACCCAGGTCTCAAGTCGTAGTCCAAAGCTCAAACCACTACCCCACGCTGTCTCTCTGAGTCTCTTTATACTGTGCCAATCGATAAAGGGCCCCATCACAAAACAAAACAATCTTATTTTGCGTACCAAATAAAACAGGATAATCCTCAAAGTGCCACAGAACTCTGCTGTTTTTGCTACAAGACTATAACCCCTTTGGAAATCTATTAACAATTAAATTAGTTAATCAGATCTAATTTGAATCCAGCCATTACTAAAGGAGACCCATTGAATCAACTGCTGCATGGCCAGTCAACACTTATGTAAAGTTAATTGATTCAAAGCATCTAATCTAATTGGGACAAATGATTCTAGGATTATTCTATGAAACAATTGGATCAATTCCTGTAAATGTCCAGGGAAATTTCTCTAACATACATATATAAAGTGGGCTCTTGGTATATGCTCTGGATTTCTTTTTTTGTGGGTTTTTTGGGCAATATGGCCATGTTCTGGAAGAATTTATCCCTGATGTTTCACCAGCATCTGCGGCTGGCATCTTCAGAGGCAAAATGTTGGGAAGAAATTCTTCCAGAACACGGCCACATAGCAAGAAAAAACCCACCAAAAACTATAGACAAATGAATTATTTTTATAACAAATCAAGCCTGCATTGTCACCAGAAGCTGAAATGACCAGATTAAGGACGTTATCACACGTGGGGCAGAAAGCGATAATAAAGTGGAAATGA